GCCTGAAGGGAACACGCGAGACAACGGTGTAAACATGGCTCCCTCTGCTGTATAAAAGCTGTAATACATATTTCACTCTGAGCTCCCAAGAACCTTAAATCAAACGACTTCTCTGAGCACCATCTTTGGATTTCATCCTTTTCAAATCAAACATTGATTTATGTCATTTTCAGGTCATCATTGCTGTGATTGAGATGCTGCACAACGCCAGCCTGCTCATAGATGACATTGAGGACAGCTCCAAGCTGAGGCGAGGTTTCCCCGTGGCCCACAGCATTTATGGCATTCCCTCTGTTATTAACTCAGCCAACTATGTCTATTTTTTGGGCTTGGAGAAGGTTCTAACCCTGGACCACCCTGAGGCTGTTAAAGTGTTTACTCGGCAACTGTTGGAGTTGCACCGCGGCCAAGGCCTGGACATCCACTGGAGAGATACCTACACCTGCCCCACCGAGCAGGAGTACCGCAACATGGTGCTGCAGAAAACTGGAGGACTCTTTGGCTTGGCTGTGGGCCTGATGCAGCTCTTCTCAGAATGGAAACAAGACCTGAAACCCCTACTGGACACACTGGGTCTTTTCTTTCAGATTCGTGACGACTATGCCAACCTGAGATCCCGTGAGTACAGCGACAACAAAAGTTTCTGTGAGGACCTGACGGAGGGAAAGTTCTCCTTTCTCACCATCCACGCCATATGGTCACGTCCAGAGAGCACGCAGGTGCAAAACATCCTAAGGCAGCGCACGGAGAACATGGACATTAAACGATACTGCGTGGACTATCTGGAGAAGGTAGGCTCGTTTGCCCACACCCGCCAGACTCTGCGGGACCTGGAGATAGAGGCCTATCGTCTCATCAAAGGCTTCGGGGGAAATCCTCAACTGGAGAGTCTGGTCAAACACCTGAGTTTAATGTATCACGAGGCTGAAGCTGCAGGAGAGTCCACCACTGCTACTGATTCACACGCCAACCAAAACCACTGACCTTATCCACCTTTCTCTGCTGCATTAGTCAGATCACAGCCACGCACACTCCACCGACACAGGAGCCGGCCAGCTACGCTGAGATACGCACTTGATGAAGCATGGAACACAAACAGAAATGTTAAATTCAAACAAGGTCCAAATGTTGCCTTTACACATTGTTGTTTTCTAGATGCATATACTGGTTGCAAGAAATAGAAAAAACGTGGAACTCTGAACAAAGACCTGAAGTCGATTTGCTCTTTTCAGGTACACTGAATAAAAGAAAACTAAAACCACAGCCTGAGGGCTAGTCTGACCTTTGTGATAGTTCTTTCTTTGGGAGTCGGAACGTAGGAACTGATTTGTTATAATGAAAAATAAGAATAACAGCGCCATCTAGTGATCATGAGGGGAAATTGAAAATCAAGACGTGACAAGACAACATGCTGGGAAGCACGACAAACTAACGTTAACCACGTTGTACAGACGATGAAATATTTTCATACTGAACTATTGTAATATAAAACATAGTAAAGATTACAACACAACAATCACAGTATGTGTCATACTTAGCAATAGGTGAGAATAAATGTTTATAAGTACTCAAAATTAATAACAAATAAATCCAATGTAATCAACCACTGTTGTACATTGCAGTTATCATAGATTTAACATGTGCCATGTATGGGTACATACAGAGTTAGAAATGACGCCAAAATGATTACATTCAAGCCTAATTAAACACAGTATGTTTTTAGTAAAAGGATAAAAAAATAGGCACAAAAAACAAATTGGCTTGCAATTAGCACACCCTATTAATAAAAAGTAGGCCAGAAATCTCGCTATTATTAAACAAAAACTGTTGCTAAAACTGAAACAGCTTCAATTAGCCCAAACATAACACAAACAGCTACTTCTCCAACATCGAAATACAAATAAAAAATGTTGACCAAAATGCTAAATGCAAGCTAAATATTAGCCCAAAGCAACAGGACTCATTTCTTTTCTCCTCGATTTACTTTTATTAGTGATATACATCCGTGAACCACTAGGGGTCAGGTACCCATTGCTGAAGAAGTCTGAAATCTTAGGATTGCCCCATGGCCGGGCATTGAACTAGGTTACTCTATACCAAATACTAACACACTGTATACTCACACATTGTTCTACTACTACACAACATAAACATCATCTTTAGTGATGTCTGCTGCTGCTGCTGATCCATGAGTGACACTGTAGCCAATCAGTGTCTAACGACGGAGAATGAGAGCTGAGACGGGTTATTATGGAGCTGGTGCTTATGAATGTGTGCAACGCTGTGATATATAAAGCCATAGTCATGTGAGTCCTGTTATCTGCTGCCTCTGTGAACAGAGGCTGTCTGTCCCACACAGCTGCAATGTTATTTTTCCACAGGAATTCTAGCTTTTTTTCTTCTTCCCTTTTTTTTTAATAAAACATAAATATATTCATCAAAATGTCAGAGACTGAGGAGACTCCTCATTTTCCTTCCAGAGAAGGGAAATGTGATGCAAATTCTTGTGATTTGATAAACAGCCAAGACGTATGAAGTGGCGTTCACAGTGCTGACTAAAGTCCATCACAATAATCAAAGCCTCTCACGGTTCTCATTTCTCCTCTCCCACTCTCTAGGTGGACTAGATTGATTTTCTCCACCCACAGTGTCTGAGTTCTGAGCAAAACAGAATAGCTTTCTGTGTGAAGAGCGACAAGTCTCACTCAGCGTCTCCCTCATTCTCGCCAAGCCCTGGATTACTTATCGCTGGGCTGCCATTTACGTGTTCCCTGTTAGCACCTCAGTGGCTACATCTCAAATGTTCTTGTTTGTTGCGATAAAAGAACACAGAAAGACACACCGCTGAGAATAACATCTGTTGTGTTGATCGTAAACCACGACCGATTTCAGTTTGGTGAAATTGGCCTTTCATTTATCTTCTAGTCATGGAGCGAGGACCACCGGAGACACGCCAACAGTTGATCACTGGGCCACAATTGTCCTAGAATTGAACAGGGGCCGGCCAGGAGCAGATCGATGGAGCGTTCGTGGGAACTAAGATAAATGACATGTAAAAGTCATGCATAAAGGCTAAAATGCTATAATGCTTTTATCATGTTTATCATCTATTGGGGAAATGTGGGTATTGCAGGGAAAAGGCAGAAGTATAATAATAATATAAATAAATTATATAACTTGGAAACCTTTGGCGGCCAGATTAAAAAGCTGAACGGGCCGCATCTGGCCCTCGGGCCTTAGTTTGCCCATGCCTGATTTGCAGAAACCTGCTAAGTGAAACACCATCAGTTACCAGGTGGGGTCAAACTGATCTCCTTCATCCTGGAAGGCAACAGTACTAACCACTCTACCACTGTCTGGTCAGTTGTGTTTTCAATCTCTCTCTTTTGAGCAGCTGACACAAAAAGGACAAAATTTATGCTGACAAAGTTTTCCGAGGCTGCCGTGTCTTTTTGACATGAACTTGGCTTAAAAGATGTAAAGTTTTTCCTTCTTCACACTTCAGAGCGACTGAAACAAATGCAGCCTTTCACCGTGGAACCGCTCCACTGAACCAAAAGGCTGGACGTTTTATTCAAGCACCGGGGCTTCTACACACAAATCCACTGATAAATCCTCTGAATGGTTTCAATAAGACATTGACTGATGTCCACTGTGAATCATCTTTCACAAATGACTAAAATAGTTCATTTTATTCAACATTTGGGGAGAAGACTGGTCCTCGTCTCCACAGGCTGCCTTTAGCAGCAGCCTTTCATTTCTGTTAATGCCTCGTTTGTATTGAGCAACAAACATCACAAAGGTTCATGTGGCGTGTCTTCAGTCTGCAAAAGTTTTAATGTTGCTTTTTGAAAAAAACATTATTGTAAAAACTAATTTTGGATGAAGTGCCTACCTGGATAACAGTTAGTCAATGGTTAGCTATAAACACAGCTAAAAGTTAGCCAAAGACTAAGCTAAAGCATTAGTTCCGGCAGTGGGAGAACATAGGAGTCATTATTCATCATAGACCATACCAGGGTAAACTACGGACCGTGGGCCAGATACTGGCCCACCAAAAAACGGGTACAAATTACAGTAACGACTGATATCAAGCATATTTAAATCATTTAGCCCAAGAACCTACAGCCAACCAATACCGAACCGGCCTGCGAGCCAGATTTTGAACCCCATTTTGGCTCATGGGCAGTGTTGTTTGCCCACAGAAACAACGTGCCAACTCCATCCAGAAATGGGTATGGGGATTCAAACCGTTAACCTTTTCTCTGTTAGACAAGAACACTAACCACTCTTCCACAGTAACACAATATGACCTGTGAGAGACTGTATGAACGCTGAGTCACCTTCAGTTTCTTAAGAAAACCTGTCACCTGTAAAATCAGCCGTACTTTGAATAAATGACTGTTTTCAGCCGCCGGTTTGGTGCAGCAACAGTGAAAAGGTGGGGAAAATATGGGATACAGACAGAAATGTTTTGTTGATTCACTCTCTTGAATACAGAATATGAACGGGATTATCCTTTAACACCAAGAGTTGTTGTCGAAGCGGCGCGAAAGCCTCTTTTTTCACATTACCATATTCATGCCACTTTGGTTACAGTATTCATGTCAGCATTCCCACAACAACACATGTCCTCATGAATAATTCTGCCAGCTCTCACTCAAAGTCTCATCCCAGTGTTCCATCAGGCAGAAATAGGAATAAAAACACGCACTTGGGTCTACCTGCATTCACAGTGGCTTAAATCAACCTTTAAAAAGAATAAAGGGACGCTCCTGGAATTTTACACATGGCTGACCATAATAGAGTTGCATTAAGAGGGAAGTAATTGTGAAAGAGCAACAAATTAGGGCCTAAAAGAATTTAAGTCCGACACCGTGCGGCTTTAATTCTTTTACATCCTAATACATCTTTTTCAAACCTTCCAACCTTGTCCAAGTGCAATATTAAATTTGCTGAAAAAAATCCATAAATGCAACTGTTTCCACCAGGGTCAGGTGCTTATTGCAAAATGGGCTTGAAATATCTGAAATCGCCCTTGAAATTCTCATTAGGGTGGAGAATTAACGTCCCTCATAAACAGAGAGTTAACTTTTGCAAGGTCTGAATGAAATACCGCTCCTGACTTTTGCAGCGTAACAAAACTTTTCACACAAAGGGCATGTGATTTTGAAAAACAGCCGTCTGTTCTGGTCCAAACATTTTAAAAATGTTCAAGGCAATAACAAACCAAAAATGACTTAAATGACTACGTTAATTTAAAAAATGATAATTGGAAGATTCACAGCTCAAAGCTTGTAAATAAAAAAAAAACACACAAAAACAAAATGGCTAAAAGTAAAGCAATTCAAGAAACCTCAGAATTACAATCCTAAACTGGCTACAAAATTAGCAAAAATAGCTGAAGGCTAGATAATAAAAAAGATTGATGTCAACAAAAGGTAGTAGTAAAGTTGAAATGCAGAACAGAAGTAGCTGTTAGCAAGCAGAGAACATGTCAAACAGCTTAAAACTGGTTAGAAAGGCAGCAGGCAGTAAAATGAAAGCTGGACAAGATGATAGTTAAAAGTTAGCTAAATGATAACTAATTAATAAAATTCTTACTAAAAGTTAGCATACAAACAATCAAAATAGCTAACTATAAAGCTATTGTAGACAAAAAAGAGAGCAAAAACTGTAGGCATCAATAGACCAAAAGACAAAGAAGTGTTAGCAAAACTGGACAAAAACAGCCTGAAATGTAGCTCAAGGGTCACCAACGCGGTGCCCCCTGTGGACTACATAAGGTGTCATGGGGTATGTTCTAAAAAAATAAAACTCGCCAACAAGAGATCAAAAATCATACTGTTACTGTTTGAATCAGTTAGACTGGCACGGCATTCAAGTGGATGAAATTACGATGGTAGAAGAAGAGTGTCGACCATTGTATGTCCTGGAACTAATTATTATTATATTGTTCAGGGAGTCTGTATCAAACAAGTAGCTGTTCCAAAAAGGTCGGTGACCCCTGGTATACACGTTTTGTCAAAAGATAGAAAAGTGATAGCAAAAATGGTTGAAACAGAAACTAGTACAAGAGAGTACAATGGTACAACTAAAACGTAACCATGATAAGATAACAAAAGAAGCTAAAAGATAGCTTAGAATAACAGCTACTACAGTACTTGTGGTAAACTATGTGTTTATTTCCTAGCCTTTTCCTCCAATTAATTTTACGGTGAAGACTCTCTTCATTGAAGCCTTGATTGGATTAATGTTCCTCCGAAGACGCAGTAAGTGTCAGTAATGGTGCAGTAATGACTGAGATCATAAAGACCATGATAAAAACACTGTCTTAATAAATCTGCTGCAGCAGGGGTCAGGAGAGCTCAATATCTTCACATCCCTGTGTGTGCAGTTACGCGGTGCGGCATCGAACGGCCGACCTTATTGCACTAGTGCAATCCAACCCATCCGCATGTCAGCGGGTCACATGATTCACAGCTGCGTCCTGCAAGTGTTCGGCAGGAAGCGACGGCTGTGACCTCAGCATCCTCAGACAGCGTGACTGTCAGAAGGAGAACGCAGCTCCTGTCAGTACGTCTAATAATATCCACGGGTTTCTATGAATCAGGCGGAGATAAATAAATACTGATTTCTGATGCCAAGAGTCATGAATAAATGATTCCCTCCTCATTTTAAGGGCACACAGGAGAAAGAGGAGGAAGAGGAAGAGGAGTCGCTGGTGAGAGGCCGCTGATTGACAGCCAGAGTGTAGCGCTCTGTGAGGAGATCTGTTTGAATGAGTGTGCAGATGGATGTCACTCAGCTGACAGTCGGCTCCTCTTTTCTTCAGCCTGGACAGATGTGTGTGATCTCAGACATGACGTCTTCAGTCTTACTCCACTGCTAACTTTGACTTGATAACTACAGCAACACGCTGTGTCCGACCTCAGCACTTTAAATACAATTTTCAAAAGAATTAAGCTTTAGTTTGAACTTGAACATGCAGTTTCACAGCGGTTGGTGCTTTTGCCTTCCATCAAGTAGGACGCTGGTTCAATCCCTGGTGGTAGTTGATGGTCTTTCTGTAAGGGGGTTAGCATGTTCTCCTTGTGTGTCTAGGTGATTTGCATTGTGCAGTGGCTTTTACCCATGACTCCATCCTTGGGCAGCAGTGGTGGCCCAGGTGGGATTTGAACCTGTGATTCCTCTGACTGGCATTGAACCAGATCTGTTACAATCTTTAGATATAAAACTCATTTTAGGATATTTCTGCTAAAATCTTATAATTTAAAAAAAAAATTATGACTGTATTTAGAAAGGCATTTCAGGTAATCCTCAGGGCTTTGTTTCAGTGCCACAAAATATTTCAGTTCTGCCTGTATGCCTGTACATTCTTAAAGAATAAAAAAGGAGTTGGAAAACATCGTGCAAGTGAAAAAGAATAAATTATAAAGTATAAATCAAGTTTTGAACTTGGTCCAGGTTTAAGAAACAACTGCTACACAAAGAGATATAAAAGCAGATCCAGACTTCATGCTGTTATTATTTATAATAAAAATTGATATATATTTTTTTAGTTCTGTCCCTACTTGTTTTTATTGCTCTTGTTTTGTTTTTGGACTGTGAGAGAAAATTGGACCACATGGATAAAACCCTGACACCAGGAGGAGAACATGAACTGAAAGACCAATATTTTCTACTGGGGATCAAACCAGCAACCTTCTTACCGAAAGGCAAGAGGCCAAAACAGTCTCACTATGTGGATGCCTGTCATTTTTCTGCAACCTAGGGCTTTTTAAAAATGAATATTGTGTTAGTTATGGAGAGACAGGGACAGATACTCTTTGGTTCCCACGATCAATAATGGAACAACACTCAGATCAGTCAAGCTTTTCTTACCAGGCTGGTCGCTGCTTTTGGGACAAAATTACCTTTGAATAACATCTAAGAACCACGGGCTGGTCAACAAGTAATGACAGCAGGTGATGTAAGTGATTGCAGAGGAATCAAGTCTCAACCTACTCTGGGAGAAAAAGACTGCAAACAGTCAGGTGAAACAAAGTGCTCGGCAAAACCAGTCATCAGCAAATTGAGGCAGAGTCCAAATGTCAACACGGTGGTGTATTCGATCTCCACAGACAGACGGAGACCAGTTTCAGGACAGAGAGACTGACTATGAAAGGGATTTTTATACATACAATTAACTCTAGACGTCGCAGGCTAAACAGATGACTTTCACGGCAAAAATAAATAAAAAATAAATCTGCATTTCGGGGACAAGAGTTTTCATTTGTCCTCTCTCGGAGAAGATCACACGTCAGCCTGAAGGCAGAGAGGATTGAAAGACTGTTTATATCATGGCTGCATCAGAGGAAGTGTCTCTGTGATGTGAGCTGATATCTGTTTCATCACACTCACTTTTCTTTACTTATTTTTGAGCACAAGAATCAGGGCATATATGTTGATTTTCATTACTGATAATAAATATGGGGGGGAGAGAGAGAGAGAGAGGGAGAGAGACTGCAAACAGGCTTCATTAATGCAGACTAATCAATTATTTGATCATATTTTACAATACAATGAGAACCAACATACAGAGTATTAGAAAAACCCAATAAAGTCACCAATGAAAGTAAAAAAGAAAATATGCAGATGTGAAGTGACTCCACATTAACCACAATTGCTGAACTACTAATGCATTTTTAAAACCTAAACAAACCGTTTAGGTAACGTTGCCTGCTAAAAGGAATCAAATTACAAACGCTTGTAAATGTCAGCTCTTTTCAAAACCTCAAAAACACGCCATCAAAATTCTGGCTCAACCAAGGATTTGAAGCACTTGTACAAACCCCTGTAAAGATGATGGATTTCGGTTTAAATCAGTGTGGAAGGCTGATGGTGCAGAAAACAGTGTTCTTATCTATGGAGCCAAGTGGAACAGTTGCAGATGTGACTGAGATCAGGGAGAGAGGAGGAGAACAGCAGCAGGAGAAAAGCGCTCCACTGTCAGGTTAATTACAGGAATAGATTTCTCATCAGGTGACATGGACTTGAATAAAATACACGACTGGTTTCATCTCCTTAGGAGAACGTTCGACTTCATCTTTCATCATTAACAAAAATACTGTGAGGCCATTTATAAACCTTGACACTGACTCACTTTAATTTACAAATCACCTCATCACATAAAAGCACGTACTCATCAAAAAGACCTGAGCACATTTGTTTAATGTCAACACTGTAAAGGTCTCTGCTGACTGGATGTGTTCAGGTCTATTGATTCACTTGAAGCCACTGATCAATGTGAACCTAAACTTGTTTTTTTTTTTAACTCCTTTGGTCATTTAAAGCCGTCCACTCACTGTGAAGTAGCACATTTACATATCTCTCTCATTACACCACACATTTGTCATATTCACCGACAGCTGCCAGCAGCAGCTCAGAGTGTTCTGCTGTTGACGGGGAGCAAAGACAGTACTCAAACCTATGACCTTTCCTTTTCAAACAACCAGGCACACTAACAGATCCACAGCCACATAAAGAACCAAAAAAAAAATCACTATAACAGACAAGGTATCTTTATATTTCATTTTGAAATGATAACATCTGTGTCTTAAAGACTGGGCGTCAGAAACTCCCACAGAGAACTGAGGTCCACACAAACAACCAACACAAAGTCCATCTCTCACAGGTCTTTTATTACATCTGAGCAGGGTTTCATCAAACTAGTGTCCCTTTTTTTTATCTGGATCACTGCGAAACTTGTGCTGCATTGACACAGATTTAAATCTAAGTCCACATACACTGAACATGTACAGTAAGGCCACATCACTATTTGCACAATGACAGGAATCGACTTTTGTGTCGGTGAGAAAAGTTGGTCGTTAACCTACAAACTGTGAGGCAGAGGAGGAAGAAGAGGATGAGAAGCTCAGGACTGACAAAATATTCCAACACGAAGCAGTGGTTTTTAAAACACAGTGATGTCCATGAAATGTCTGTCACGATGGCCGTCAAATATAAGAGTACTATCTATAATGTAATCGAGTATTTGTGTCTTTCAGCAGCGTGGTGAACTGCACATGCGTCTCATTCATCACAGTCAGCGCTGAAATGTTTTGTCTTTTAAAGGCCTGTGGTACAAATGGTGGCAGGATGCTACAGCTAAAGATCTTTCAATGCCTCGTGGCGCTGCACATGGTTCGTTAGCTTTATAATTTGGTAGTTGTAGAACCTGTTAGAGAACTCTAAAAGTCTGTAAAATACTTTACATTATCATACATTTTGAGATTCAATGTAATCTAACAATGACCATAAAACCCAGTGAAAACACTGTCGGAGCCTGAGGTTTTTCTTTTCTTGAAGGAAACCACAGTAACTGAACTGACAGCTAAAGTTTGAGTGCTTTTTCCCGCAACGCCACACGATGACTGTGGTTTGCGCAAGATTCAGGAGCCCCAGGGACAACCACAAGGGTCTCCGCAGGCCCTCTTCCTGTCCCAGAGGACGTGCAGCTCCTCTGCTGTGTGCTGTGGAGACGACAGCATGTCCAGGTAGCATTCTTTCTCACACAGCCAGCCAGGATCCTGACCACAGAGGAGAGGTTAGAACATCCATTCATTTTATTGTTGATTAATGAACGTAAGCCCTTACAAAATAGAAAATCCTATAAAATGATGTTAATAATGTTTTATTAACTTTAACATCCCATAGATGTACTTTTATAGGCCTAGACTGCTGGGGGAACTCCTACCTTTGTTTTCTCTAGTTTTTTGCCTTTTTATACCTTCACTTAACATCAGGGCTTCATGAAGTTTGATGAAACTACAGGCTAGTCATACAGGTTGAGTTTCCGTGATACCAAGTTTGTTATGTCATAAATGCAAAAGCCTGGAAAGAGTTTTTTTATTTCTCAATAATTTGAACAATTAAACAGATGAAAGTAACTAGTCGCCAACAAGTGTAAAGGTTTTGTTTAACATTGGCACCAATCAGAGACAGAATAGGGCTAGAAGATTACTGTGTCCTTCATTGTCTTCAGCCAAAGACCAGAGACAGACAACTACAGAATGAACAGTCACCAGTGTGGTGACTGGATGTAACTACAGGCAAAACGTTCAAAGAAAACAAAGTCCAAGCCAAGAAAACAGGATTTAAACCAAACTAAACAAGCCTTCATTTTCAGTTCAGCACAAAGACACCGTCTTTGATTTGCAATGAAAGTGGAAAAGACCAGTTTGACCATTGATTTTGTATGCTGGTCAAACTGTTGTATGCCTGTACATTCTTAAAGAATAAAAAAGGAGTTGGAAAACATCGTGCAAGTGAAAAAGAATAAATTATAAAGTATAAATCAAGTTTTGAACTTGGTCCAGGTTTAAGAAACAACTGCTACACAAAGAGATATAAAAGCAGATCCAGACTTCATGCTGTTATTATTTATAATAAAAATGGATATTATCACAAAATGAGAAAACTGCTGTACTATCAACACATCTGACTGAATTGTACTGTTATCTGTAAACTCTTCTCTCTAATCTACACATAAATTTGAGTGTGTATGTCTGTCTCTATCTGTGCCCCTGTGACTGACAGGTGAACTGTCCAGGTTGTACCCTGACTGCTGGGAGGGGCTGCAGCCCCCTCAGGATTGAGCGGCCTCAGGCTGAAGAAGTAGAAAATAGGAGATAAAATGCCCCATATTTTTTTTCTTTTGAGCAACTGCTGCTGTGCAGCCAGGCTGTTGAAGGAGTGACTGTGTGAACGTTTATACACTGCTGTGGTCATTAGTCATACACTGCACAGGTCTAACTGGTGAAATTGTGAACATGCACCTTTGACTTGCTGTGACTGAACTACACGCCAGAATTAAACCGGTGGACACTGCGTGATATTGCTGAAGTGTCGCAGCCTTTTTCAGAGCTGCCTGGCAAAATTCTCCGTTTGTAAAGGTTATGTCTCAGTACAGTACAGATCTCAGTCATCAGCCAATGACTTAATTTCATAGCCATTATAAAAACCCCAAACTAATCTCTTCCAATAATTTTATCAAGTCATATATTTGCAGCTTATTAGTATGTTGTTGAATTTAAATTAGTGAAGACTGCCTCTCTCCAATCACTGGAGACTTGGCTGATGGATATATGACAGATCCAATCATCCAGCTCACTTTAAAGGTTAGAAAAGGGCTGCTCCCAATCTCTGCTTCTGAGATATTTCTGTATTTTCTGTGATGTGCTTGAATGTTGCTGATAAATCAAAGTCAACTCTAACGACTAGATGCCATCATCGGCGTAGTTTCTCCTTATTTTACCTGATACTTCTGTGGTCCTACAGCTGCCATCCATATCCCCATGCTCACATCTTCTCCCTGTAATGAGACGTCAGGGACACATTCCTCACATTACATCCAGGATTATTTGCACATCATTTCACCACACTTTCTCGGCGTGCACTGCACCTGATAAGCCTTTAGTTTCTCCGCGTTGCTGGCGAGCCACTGGACCAGGTCACGGGAGACCACATAGCCCGAGCCGCAGGCAAATGCTGGATAGGCCGGACTTGCGTACTCCAGCTCCTGCCACTTCCCAATACGATCCACTGCCCAGCTTTGCCTGAAACTAGGTCAGTGCAGCAGATTATCAACACTTCCTGCCTCACGTTTACCTGACACACCGTTCTGACTGTGCAAAGCGTTACGGTTTCTCTCAATTATGTGTGAAGCCAACAGTTTACTGTAGTGACAAATACTTGGACTATCAACAGGAGAAGACACCGAACAAAAAACAACACTTACTTTCCCCACCAGAAATTGCTGTGCTTTAAACCCCGGTGGTCAATCTTCATTAACACCGAATCAATGTCGATGTAACAATCATCGTCTGTCTTCAACAGCAGATTAAAGTCAGCGTTTCCCACAGACCTGTCAGACAGGGGAATTGGAACCTTAATTAAAGGCACCTCGGATTTTTCTACAATATCCCAGAGTGGATTTACTTTGAAATACCACTGAGAGCAGAGGGCCAGAGGTCCTGTAACTAAATAAAACACTTCAAACTGCAGATGAAAACTAACTCTGGGTTTGTCTCCACATGGTGACTCACAGCTACTTTTACTCTGACTGAGTGACTGCAACTGTGGCTCCAACAATGAGGTATTTTGAGGCAACGACACACTTTAATTCCAGCTTGCAGATTTCCTCAGAGGGTCCAGGCAATTTGAACTGAGAATGGAGTTATTAGCACTCTGCATACCATTTATAGAACTGAAGCAGTTTGGAAGGCACACTCCTGTAGGTGTCTACCACATCTACGAAAACCACGTCGCCGTGCCTCAGGCTCTCCTGCTGTAAGGTAGCATCCTCGTGCCTCAGCCTGGAGGCATGCAGCTCCATCCTGGCTGGGCGGCCTCGCAGGAGCCCAGAGAGACCATCCACATCTGAGAAAAACATCATGAAGGGAGTGGGCACAGGGAGGTACATGACAGAGGTGATGAGAGGCACGTTCAACAGCTCAAAACTTACATCACAGCTCAGGAAAAAAAAATGTAATTAAACTGTGGCATTCATAGAATGGATCATTAGTTCTATTGACTATTTATTGAATAGCACATTTAATTTTCTTTTGACCAATGTGGTTTAATATTCTCATTGCAAAACACCAGCAGCAGGAAGAATCAATAATGTTAAACAACAGGAAAAGGAAAAACATATTATTTCTCCTTTAATGTATGCTGAAGCCCTGAGGCAAAAAACTGCTAATTTCACAGGCTGCCGGAGAGCGAGGAGAGTTTTTTTAGGGATTTAAAACGGTGCTCAACAACTGCCTCCTCATTAAGCACTACCAATTAAACCGTACACATTAAAAATTTATTAAAGTTATTCTGTTGCTGTACCGACCGTATACAGTGAACGTAAATCCTCCCGCCAAACCAGGGAATCCAAGAGCACTTCTGTGAGGCAGTATGCCTTCTGCTATCTGCGACATCAGAACAAAGGAGAATTTTCTCTTCAAGTCAAGTGAACCTCTGTTCCCTTTTAAAACATCACACATTTATATTTGATCACCAGTGTGGACACATACAGAGGAGAACTTGAGGACGCCACCTCCGTCATTGAGCTTCAGTGAGGAAGAGTTGACTGTAGTCAGTCCAGAAGAGTCCAGACTCTCCCACACAAGTGTCCCCTCAAAACCCTGGACAACAAACACACATTTTTCTTTTTACTTTGCCTACAGCCTGGGTTTATCATCACAAGTCCAAGTCTTAGATTCTTCTCTGAAGTATGGGGCTGTTTACAGCCGTGCTCCCAAAAGTCTCAAGCAGTACTGATGTAGAGCAGGGACCTTATGTTATATACTGCAAAAATAGGTTTTACATTAAACTATATACATCTACTTTGGTATTTTTAAATAAATACTAAGCTATATAAACATTACACAGATGTAAGGTATATATATATATATATATATATATAGAGAGAGAGAGAGAGAGAGAGAGAGAGATGTTTACAGTTGCAAAAAAATACATATATTCATGTATACAGCTGCAAAAAAAATATACAAACTTTTTGACCCATTTCCAGCACTTCTGCTGATCCCATAGTGAAACTGACCTTAGGTAAAATGAACTGCTCCACAGGTTTGTACCAGAGTCCATGCACCATGGTCCCAGTGCTGATGGAACTGAAGCGGGCAGTGACCACTGCCTCCTGCAAAGGCATTGCACAGAAATGAGCAGAATAAAAAACCCCAAAGTAATGGTTTTCAGTTTAAACCCGGTGGAAATTTGCCTTCATTAAAAAGCAGTGCGAGACCACAGACTGAAGTTTCAGTGGCATTAAGGAGTAGCAGGCAGCAGCACCAACTGCCCTCAGGCTGTGTATCTGCTCACACAAACAGCATACGGTATACATTAGGCTCAGAGGCTCAGACCCCGTTACCTCCTGGCCCAGCTGCAGAAGCTTCACTGTTACGTTGCTCTGAAGCTCAGGCCGGGCTCCTCTGGGAAACACCCCCAGCTTGGTGATAACCACCGGGTGGAGGACCTTGAAGTCGAGGGCGACTGCTGAAACGTCAGACGGGACGAGCACTGAGGGGTCAGAGGCCGTCACAATCTCCGCCTCAGTATCCTGTCCTGTAACTGGCAGAGGAAACATAATAACCTGCTGATCATCTCTTTTCAGTGGTGAGGACTGGAGAGGGAGAGAGGGAGTGTTCAGAGGAGAAGGGAAGGAGAGTCGGGCGAAGTCACACACATCAGCACTTTGGAGAGCTGCTTCCAGGGATGGCTGTCTTTAAAAGGAGCATCTGCTCGTAAATGTTGTTTCTTAATTACAAAAGAGCACTTTATTACCCAGAGGATCAATGAAAAGAGTCGGCCTGTTAACGGAAAGCAGGCTTTTAACTTCATATACATGACAGACACAAGTTCTGCTGCCTGCTTAAAAAAACCCAAACAGACAGTTTGGCCAGTGAGTCTGACAGAGAAGAAGGCAGCAGCAGGTTCTCCTGAAGTGAACACTCCACACTTGGACGCAGTTTCCGGATTTCACTAGTGTATGAAAATAAATCTAATATCCTTGTGCTGACTCAATATAAGTGCCTGTGTTTGTGCAAACTTGTCAGAACAAATCACATCAGGTCTTTCTTCCACACTGTTCAGCATGAGATGGCAACTTTGATGATTCAGAGGAAAATACGGAGGAAAAATAAATAAAACTTATTATTTAGCCAATACGTTGGCATATACATATATATATATATATATATTCTGGGCAGAAACTCCACTCTTTAACATTTAGGGCACGAGCACTGACGGTGAAAATCTTCTGTTCAGGCTGTTGTATATTTTTGTCTGAAAATACACCAAAACTCACAAGACATTGCCTAAAACTCTGGGACAAAAATAATTTATGGATTCTGGCTGCAGTTTTCAAACATTAAAAATGTGACATTTATGATGCTCTTTGTCACAGGTCCATTAAATTTGCTGTGTTTCAGGCCTAGATGAGCAAAATAGTCAAAAAGACAAAGTTCTAAACTAAAAAATAATTTAATTTGTGTGGATTTTGAGGATGCAGGGTTAAAAAGCCTTTGTTGAAGGTATATTAATATCTCCTTCGTTCATTACATCAGCTTGGAACTTGGCAGGGGCAGTCGTATTTTCAGCCCTTTGTGATCAAAACATAATATATTGCCTAGTTTCTCTGCAGCATGACGCCAAAGTTTGATGTACTGCCACCCACTTTTCACACTTTCTCTGTAACAATTCATCTACACTACATTTGAAATTAGTTCTAGTGCCACATGGTGGTCACGGTAAGTGCTACAAATGTGCAGCCGTAAACAATTTAAAACCCTCAGTGTTATTTATGAGGGGTTTGGCCAATCCCAGTACAGCACTTCACCTGTCCATCAGAGGGACACATATAGAGACAAACAACCATGCACACTCACATTCACACCTGTGGTTGAGTAAACAATTAACCTAATCCTGCAGGAATTTGAATTGTAGGAGGAAACGGGAGTAAACCTATGGATGCATTCAGAGAACATACAAAGTTCACAAAGAACAGGGAATCAAACCAACAAACCAAATTTTTACATTAATCATTCAAACCGATAATCCAACATTCCAAACAAAGTGACCAGATATAGCACACCTCATCCACTTCAGGAAGGTTGCAGTATTACATCATGTCGAACATGCAGACACACAGTATCATCACGACTGACTGTTTTCAGGAGGACAGTAAAATTGCCTGAGGCTAACCTCTAAACCTAGTAGTAGTTCAGGGTTATCCCAGCAGGAGGCACACTCTAACTGAAACATGCTCACAGTGGCTGATGGAGTTAAAAAAAATTAAGTACACTGAGGAGAATGCATATTTAGGAGAAAGAATAATCAGTCAATCCGTCAGTCAGTGTTAATGACACTGACTGTAAAAAGTCACATGTCATTAACTTATTACCAGTCTGTCCCAATGAGTGTCATCACATTTCTCCGACCCCAAAATAACTAGAGCACAGAAACACCACCAGGAAAATGAACAACATATAAGATTAAAAAAGGGAGAAAACAAGGCTGAAGCTGTTTTGACTTTCATGAATATCATCTGTCACAGCTGCTGAAAAACTAGAGAAAATGCAGTAGCTGTGTTGTTGTCCTTGGAGTTTTGACACCAAATGTAATGTTTATTTTCTTTTTTTTTTATTTATACTTTTATGTAAATAAGGCAAACTAAATTCTAGGAAGGACTTTTTGGAGATAGTGGGTTGAAATGATATCAGAAAAAGATAATATCTCAATCTATTTCTGTTTATTTTTCAGGACACGTGTTAGAAAAAACCCTAAATATAATTATTTTACTTCTTCAACAGATCATATGTCATTAATATAATGAAGTATGTAAAGATAAAACCTGAGGATTATTAGCACAATTCAGTGTTCTCCTTTATTGCATGTGACGTGAAAAGAATTTATCTAAAATGTATTGGTTTTTTTCCCAAACACACGTGCATTGACCTGAATCTACAGCCAGGTTCCCAACTGTGCTTAAAAGCAGCCACTGTCTCTTTCTCTTTCAATCACAGCGAGCGTCTCGCACCGAAGCTGCCCACCTGCCTGTGGTTCCTGAAGCAAATCACACTTAAATCCATTAACGCGAGCCGCAGCGCAAGACTACAGAGCGGCTAAGACGTCACCGTGACCCTTAAGGCCATCGTCGTTTCTGATGAGCAGAAATTATGTTTTCATGAAGACAGGAGATGAGGAAGAAGTGGAGAAGAGGCTGTGGTGGACCGGCTTAGTGAAGGTGAGAGACAGAACAATTTACTGCACACGTTCGATCTGACAGGGAGCCTGTTCAATTATTTCATAGACTGTGTGTCGCTGCTTCATTTTCTGTAGCTGTTAGTAGGCAGTGTTAGTTTCAGCTGCAGCATCAGCTGCGCCGACTGCTTTAGCCTTGGGTGAGGAAGAAGAAAAAAAAGGGAAGGTGTCCTTGAGCTGTGGTTGAGTGTGCATAAAGGTGCTGTACTTGATTTCTGAAGATGAATTCTTTCAATACTTTCCACTCATCTCCTCATCTATTCTTCCTCAGATGCTCTAAAACAATTGCACACACACACACACACACACACACACACACGTACACACGAGCAACAGATTGCACCCAGAACACGTCTCAGCGTTGCAGCAGCACATGGACACCCATCTCAACATCAGCTTGATTCTTTTGGTACCTGGCTGGGTGAAGTTCAGGATGGAGCAGGAGTATGGATCCTCTCTGTCCTCCTCGGGAATGGGACACCCATGTTTGCCCACGATGAATTTCACCCCCACTCTGAAAGCAGGAACGCCACAGTGTTTTTAGTCATCTTTCTTTTGTGCGATATTGAGACAACATGATTTCAAAAGCTTGTCTATCTATTCAACCTCTGTTACCATGGCTACAGAGGGTTGCTTAAAGGCCATTACACCTTATCTGTGCTTGGATAACCCAATGTGGAGGAAACGCACCAAAAGAATGACAGAGGGGGCAGTGTTTGCCCCGAGGGGTCAGGTAAAAGGAATAAAGAGGCTGATGGGTCACTCAGTTATTTTGTTACCAGCTGCAGGCTGTACGTCCACTACAGGAAGCTGAACTGAGGAACAAAGAGAGAAAGAAATGTGGAAGTTCAGACAGACCTGTGCTTGAAGTGGGGGTGGTGTTTGACGTAGCCCAGCCAGGTCTCCCTTATGGCTTGTCGCAACTCGTAGTGATGTCTCGCTGACAGCACTCCCACCAAAACTTCATATGAATGTACCGCCACATCTGTGTTAGGAGGGGGTCAATTAGGTACACACTCACAGGTGGGATGGATAATGGATTGGAAACTAGCCAAATAGAGACAGCACCAAAAATTATTCCTGAATCATAAATGTAACATTAATCAGAAAAAGCAGACAAATATTTTAAAACCTCAAAGATTAAATCAAGCAAAAATACAGATGTTTTTAGACAAAATGAATCATATTTAAATAAGCTTGTGTCTTCTTTGTCCTATTGTTAATGACTGCCGCTGCAGAAGAAAAGAAAAAAACATTTAACCTGCTTAAATAAAAAAAAAAACATAACCTAAATCACTGGTTATCTAACAAGAAGCATGTCGCTAAGAGGATTAGCCAAACATTGTTTTTTTAACATTATTCATCCAATTAAAACAAGAATTGTGTAAAAAAAAAGAAAAATAAATAATGTAGGGCTGTACGAATTAATGCCGTGGTCCAACACTATTTGACTACTACATTACTCTTTTTTTTTGTAAATTTAAAAACATTCAGCATCTGAAAATATTCTGGCTTGCATGCATAGAAATAGAAACTTCACCTAATACTGTTAAGATGTAGACAAAAAAAAAAGAAAAAAATGTACTTGAATTTGTCCAAGTTTTATAGACCATTTGACGACTCGGATAATTGAAATTAAAACCATCAAGTTAATCTCATAAGAAAACAACAGGAAACTTAGCACTCGACGAGCAGAGGCTTCCTTTGTGACAGGACTGCTTATGGCATGTCCTCCTCTTTAAGCCGCTCCCTTCAGGGTTCATCAAAACGGATCAAATGCCTTTGTCGAATCACATCCTTCTACTGTCACACCAACAATCCTCTGTTCTCCTCCACTGCGCCCCTGCATCTTCACTGAGGTCTTCCTCTCCTCCTCCGCCTGGCAGCTCCATCTCCAACACCCTTTGTCCGATAAATCCCCTATCTCTCCTCAGCACACGTCCAACCTGTCTCCACCTTGCCTCCCTAACTTTATCTCCAAAGTGGTCCACCTCAGCCGTCCCAAAACATATTAAATTATTAATTCAGTAGAGCACATATATTTGAGATTAGGAGGGGAAAATAAATGTGTTAGATGTTTGGGGAAAAAAGAGAAAGAAATCCAATCAAACAACAGGATGCCACAGCAGTTTACTGTCTTTTGAGGGTTCCAAATTAATCTACGATCAGCAGACAGAATGAAGACATTTAAAGACAGAATAGTCAGACTTTGAGGCAGGGAGTGCAGATTTCCCCACTGCTGGTCTCCACAGCCCTCTCCTCTGCGCCCACTGTGATGCATTGGAAATGAATCCCTATGTGCATCACATAGTGGTTAAGTGATCATTAGTGATGATGCTGACAGGAGTTAGACATTATCATCATCTCCATCATCAGCATCAGCAGCAGCAGTAGAGACGCTCAGCTCCAATTTCACTGTCCCAGCAACGCCCATCATCACTCAACTGCCATATTCACATAACATTGACAGTAAAAACACACACTTATGTAAACTCCCGTAGTGACGGGAAGCGTTAACTACCTGTTCCTACCAAACCTAACAGCCATAGCACAAACACCGGCGCAAGCAAAGCAAAGTTAGCAGCTGCTCGAGCGTGAAAAAGTTACGCGGCGTCGGCGAAGGCGAAAACCGGCGGTTGAGGCTTCAAAAAGTACCGGAGTGTGTGTTGTTGTCCGGCGGGCTGGAAGAAGGTCTGTGTGCCAACCACAAGTGCACCAGGACGGCGACAGCACAAGGCAGCAGAATGAGCGCTAGCCTCCGCATGGACGGAGCCCTTGACTTCGCTCAGAGCCGGAGCAGCGTTCAGCTTTGGCGGCGTGGAGCTTCTTCGTGAGCCGCTCGACTATGCAGGTCGGAATGAGCTGCTCCGTGTGTGCGCTTCATTTGAGCTCCGCTCGGCCGAGCGGGCTCTCTCACCACCGTCGCCACCTCATGTCTGCCTTCGTCGCTCGTAGGAGAGCTGGACCAATGAGAGATCAGGATTTCTGCCGCTATGGCCTGTGGGAAATGAGGTTTATTACTGCGTTTTTGGACTAACACTTGACACACTATAAAACAAGTGGTTCACAAAAGGAGGTACGTGTACCTTTAGAGGTACTTAAATTTTACACTTTATATGACATTTAAATTTATATAACTATAAATAACTATAAACTATAGCTATGAATATATTCCAAAATAACGAGTTATTATTTAGTTTTATTTTAAATTGTTTTTGGATTGCCTTGCTGTTTACGGTTTATAATTATGAGTATGTGCTCTAAGAAAAACAAAAAAACAAGAAGTAAAACAAAAGAAAGAAGAGAAGAGAAAAACAACAAAGAAGATAAAGAGTGAAGAGAAAAGAACAAAAGCAAAGAGAAGAAGTGGAAATGTGAGAAGAAGAAGATAATGAAGAAGAAGATCATTTTTTAAATAAAATAAATATTACGTTCAGTGTCAAATTCAGGTGTTCTTCTTTCCTCTACTGTAGTATGCAGCCCACATGGATTTCTTCAGACTCCACTGCTAGTATTTCAGTGAAGGAGGATTAGGCCTCACCACTGAGACAAACAACTGCCACGCACTGGTGGCAATACAGCTCATTTGTATTGATTTTAACGAAGTTCCAGTAAATGTTATTGTAAAGACTTCACTGCAGCTGTAAAGAAAGAACAATAAACATAATGGAAAACAACGGCAAAGCTCTGCATCACTTATACGTCAATAAAATGAAAAGAAATCATTTTAAAACTTCTGCACTCGTCTGTTGATAAATAATCTATCAGGGATTATTAGATTTCTCATGTGTTTTGTGCCCAGTTTGGACTTCGTTGAACTGCTGATCTGTGGTATTAGATAAGACATTTCCCTCAGCTTAATTACTTTTCTGTGTATGACTGTACATTATTCTCCTGTCGTAATCTTAGTTATACTCACATAAATGTATATATATATATATATATATATATATATATATATATATATATATATATATATATATAATTTAATTAGTCTGTTCGTGGCTTTCAGCATTTATTTAAAGTGCTCTATTCTCCAAACCTTATCTGGTCTCCTTCTCTTCTAATCATCTTCTGTTCAACTTTTGTGTGCTCAGCTCTTACTATTGAACTTCCCATCAAACCTTATTCATGTTTTTCTCACTCTCTGAACTTCTGTATTATAAATGGACTTCAGTTCCTCTTTCACTCTAAAACTGTTTAAAATACTCCACATTCTCCATTCATCTCACCACACATTTATATAGACTTTCAGTTTTCACCCAAGAACGAAAATCTGCAAATCATGTACAATTGGCTAAATGTATGAGCCCGGGTGCTCGTGAATCCAGTTGGTGACACAAATATTAGCTATTGAATAAATTGTTTTCTTTTTTAAATTCTCATATAGTCTTCGATACAAGGCCTAGATCTGTATTACAATCAGCATTTTACAAACAGCCTTTTGTTTGACTTTTCTTATGAGACCAAGCCACACCAATTTGACACAGTATTGTTCTGAACTTTTAAAGTAAAGCCAAACAAAATCTATTTGCATTCAAACTCACAAACTGTAAGAACATGCAAAAAAATGAAACAGAAGACCGGGATTAAAACCAACAATCATCTGTTCAGTAAAGAACAACACAAAAACATACATAAGCAGTTCTAATAGACAATTCCTTCTTCTCCAGTAAATATGTCATCACACAGTGAAGGCTCAGGCAACAGCAGCTGTGCTTTGTCTCTTCACAGACGTGTTTACTTGTCAAATAAACATTAGCGGTCCAATAATTTTGTCCACAACTTATTGTTTACACTTCTTCTTATGTTTATTGCCGTAGTGAAGCTTTTGCGACTGGCCATATACTGCAAATATAATTAACATTCTGCTCCGTAAAACTATCGATTTTACCCCCAATTAAATTTTCTGTAACCTACATTAGTCTCTGGCATTTCACCGACAAAGTTAAATTTAAAGTTATGAAAACAAACATCCTTTTTATTATAATTACAATTTGAAAAGAGTCAGGCCGGTAAATCACGTCCCCCATCATCAATGACCATACTCCAATCAATAGCTAATTAAAAACCCCGTAGATGAATAATCAGAACCACAGCTGCACGAAGACTAGAACAGTCCTCGTCTGTAATTCCTCTTGACTTTAATTAAAGCCGGCTCCTTTGGGTTTGGTCTTATCATGGTTGTACATCACCATCGTGTACAATCTGCGGATCTGCACTTGACTTCACTGTATGAAAGCATATCTCCAAATCGATTTTCCCCTTTGTTGTTGGTTTTCTTGTTTTTGCCATATTTAAACAATCTGGAAACTAAGGTGCTCAGCAGAAAAGGCGGATAAAAAAAAAAAACACAAGCAAGTACAGTAGACGATGCTCCAAATGCATGGAGGGAAAAGATTGGAGGGCAATGACAGATCATTCCTGTGCTGCTGTCAGAGGCTGGTACTGAATCATTAACACAGATGTTACTCATGCCACCTGCAGACTCAGCCAACATTTGGCTGTTTTTTCCTGCTCTCTCACAATTGACTGAGGATAAACTGACTTATGATCATGCAAAAGAGAAAAAAAAATCTCGAGCATTGACACGCAGCTGGCCTGTGGTTCAGCTCAGCCACAGGGGTTCTCCATCACGCATCAGAATGTCATGTTCCTCAGGTTTGGCACCGACTTTGTGTGCTGCCTCAGAACAGAGAGGAACTGTGTGAAAATGTCAGGCTGAGACACAGAACAGAACAGAAACAGAGAAGACGCAACACATCTGGGTTGTCTTTTTTTTAAATCCATTTTTCTTTAATTAATTTGCTATTTAAATGCTATTGTTTTCCAAAACAATAATACCATTCATGTATACAGCTGCGCATCGTCGACATATCTGGACTCCATTAAGAGAATTGTGTGCAGAGAAGCACCCAGAAGTCAACAAAGAGGCAATAATACATCTCATTTAATAAATGTTCTCTCTGCTATAGGTAGAAATGAATCCATGCAATATTCATCTTTAGCTTTTAAGATTTTCTTGTTACAGATTTGGCACCGTCCTTAAGGTGAGGTCACGGAGATTGTCCTGAGATCGTCCAGTCTCAGGTTTTCACTAAGGAAACCAGAACAATAAATGATCCTGATCATAATTTGGCTCCAGTGGTTTGTGTTTTCCACAGTCCAGCATCAGTCCACAGTTTGATTCCAAATACAAAGTCTGTTCAAGTACCAAGAGGAATTTTTTTTTTTTAATTTTACAGAAACAATGATGGAAATGCCAGAACAAGTGACAGGGTCTCATTATGTAAACTGGCCCCTGGCTATTATTTTGTTGTTTTTTAAAAATACTCAGATAGTAATATTTGCATGGTTTATAAATGTTTTCATACAAGCGTAGTAGCACTACACATCATGTAGCTTTGAGTGCTATGCAACAAATATTCAATAATACTACTAATGACAATATTAATAACAATAATTGACAATTCATTGTAAAAATCAGCAAATGCTAATCAACTACCATATAAAGGAAAGGTCTCGACAGTGTGCTTTTTAGTTCAAAACGAATAGATCAAAGGAGGAAAAGAAGGTTCTGTGAGTGTGAGTGTCACAGTGTGGTGATCACACCGCTCACACAGACATTGGCACTGTAACATACTGTACACCCGAAAAGACTGACAGTCTCTGCAAAACACAGGCGGCTGTCAAAAATAAAAAGGTCAGAGGCCGTGCCACTCACTCAAGGACAGGCTCAGGAAACATGCCCCAAAATATGAATAAATCAGAAGAAAAAAACAGGAACTCAGTTTTATAAGTCTAAAAGTTTCTTGGTTAAGGGACTGTAGATGACACGTGAGTCAAACCCAGCAGTAAGATCTGAATGCATGGGAGCAGGCCTTCAAAGGAGGGAGCTGATTCATAAATAATATTTAGACTTGAGGGTTGTTTGCACAGTGATGACCCTGGAGTACTCATCTCACCACTGAAACATTAGCTCTGCACCATTCAACAGGCCGAGAGTCAATTTATTTATTTGCACCGGAACCGCGGTGCAGCCACCTGCTCCCTATTATGAGTGCCGTATGCTCCAACTGAAATACGTGAGATAAGGTTGGTGATCGTGTGCTGCGGAGCTGAAACCAGCCAGGTAATCGTCGCCAGCTCTGGGGGCAAATTAAAAGAGAAACTACCAAGGAGGGAGGTGTCAGATTTCAGCGGCACTTTCAGTAATTGGTTCAACAAATCTGTGTTCAAATGCTCGAGATAATAACAACACGGATGTGTCTTTTTCACTCTGATAAAGTGAAAGGGAATTAATGTTGAAAAGAAAGTAGACGCTGGGCAAATTTCTGTCTCCTGAGGCGTGTTAGGAAATAGCACAAAAAAAGAAAAAGAAAGAAGAGGAAAGGAAAACATTTCTCATCTCATTAAGCACTGAGCAAGGCTGTTCTCTAATAACAAAGCAATAACAAACCTATTTAACAAGACATTATGCGCTCACTGGGTTGCCAGTTTGGTTGCTGACTCCCCCCCCAAACCCTTCAGCCACCAGGACAGAGCTGACCAACAACAGAGTGTCCTCCGGCAAAACTCAACTCAACGCCTATAGCCAATAGCTTCAGGTGTGTTGAAGACAGAGAAGCCAGGCAACACCAAGCCTGCACCTGGGCGGCTCCTGGAGGTCATCAGAGGATGGTGCAGAAGAACTTCTTCTCCCGGAATGGGTTCTCTGAGGCGGGCACGGGCACGATGAGGGGGTCCTCGCGTATGTGGGCATCGCAGTACGCCATCAGGTCTGAGGCTGCTTTAGACACCTGAAATGTTGGGATGCAAAAAAAAAAATAAAAAAATTCAGGCTGAATCAGTCAGGCATAGACAGACAGATAGATACTGTATGTACTGCATATCGTGGGGTTCCTGCTCTGCTCTTAGCCCTGTCCCCAGTCAATCACAGCGACTAATAAAGCCATTACTGTTTTATTAGCTGAATACGATGCAGCCCAACACATCCCAGTCTCTCCTTACCTTTGGGGGAACAACTCAGCGGGAGCAGCTGGTGACTACATTTTAATAATTCTCTGGGGACAGATTGTCCCATGTAACTCCACCGTGACTTTGAGTCAGCTGCAGTTACGACCCATGAAGTGGGACACGACCACTAAAAATAATTGTTCAAAAATACTTTTAAAGACTTTGGCAGTAGTTAAAATCACAGATTCTCTCCAGACAGTGGTGTCTGAGTGTATTCTTAGTTTTCTTATAAATAAAGTCAAAACCTTTGTCAAAAACAAAGGTTAAAGGCCAAATTATTCTGTTGCATATGCCTGCGCATTGCGGTTCTTTAACTTAACAATCACTAGGATGTGAGGAAGAGCTAATGTTGCATTGCGATAATATTTTGAGCATAAAAATGCAGAATGCATTGTCTTACAGTCAGTGATGATTAAAGATTGTAACAGATGCCAGTTGATCAGTCAGTGGAAGCGTTTTTTTTTTTTCAGCTAACACTCCCTCCAACTGTTATACACAGGAGCTTAAACCATGTCAGGACGGACAGAAACTAATGTGGAAGTCTAAAGACAGAGTTGTCAGTGTTGTTCTTCTTTGGTTCACTGAGATTTTCATCTGGTAGAAACTGCCTTCGGAGCTCAACCTGCTCCACACACCAACCTGTATATGGTCTGCATGAATGTTACATGGCTTTTTGTCTGTATTCCTGTTTTGTCAGTGCCTGCGGCTTTTCACAGTGAAGCCCAGAAGACCAGCAGGAGGAGAAGACAGCCCGTCAGGATGACTGACCGCTGTAAAGGCTGGACCGGGGGCAGCTCAGGGGAGGTAGGTGGGCGGTAAGGACCACTTCCTACATTCAACTAAAACTTTCCTATTGTAATTCCCAAGGTCAGTCAGACGGTACAGTCTACAGCTCAGTGCAGTTTGGCACATGGACACTGGATGGGAGGTTAAAAGGCAGCAGATGAGGAGGAGGAGGAGCAGCTGCATCAGAGGGACAGTGGGGTCTCGGAGAAGCACGTGTCAGACAGAGCCATCTGACGCCCTGCCTGCTGCTCCACCTCCAACAACCGCTGCTGTCGTCACATATCACAACCCATGAATCCAACGAGCTCATTACAGCTTCATTATTACAGTCACAACCTACACCATCTACAGTGAAGGGTTAGCAGAACTTTTCAAGTGTTAAAATCCACTGGAGGCCCCCTCACCTCTAACCCCCCACCCTCACCCTCTTTTCACCAGGCATGAACCGTACCCCATCTATACACTGATCATAACTGTACTGCTAATTTACAAACTAAATACTAAAACTGACAAATAATCTCTGACTCAGTGGGTACCAGCTCAATGTCCCCACAAGTGAAGCTAAACAAGAAACACACACACACACACACACACTCTCAACAACTGACACATGAACTGAAAATAAAACACGACTCTCATGAATCTCAAAAAGGAATGAGTTACGATCGTCCTCATACATTTGAAGTACCAGTGTAGTACAATATACTGCTAACAACCTTTAAAGTGCACACAAATAAAACTGTGGGACATTTCTCAACAGAGGTTTGTCCTCAGGATGGATTTAAAGTGCATCACTGCCTCCTCTGACCTAATTATATTTTTGGCATCTTCAACGAGCTGCATGTAAATTAGAGATCAACTTTAGCTGCAGACTGTCCAACCGTGTCTTTTTTTCTCTTAATCTGTTATTTTGCTCCTTTCTAGCTTCACATTTTTCTAGGATTTAACTGGAGTTGTTCTGGATGACTCACTCCTGGAAACACATCTATGTACAGTACCATTTATAAAACAAATAATAATGAACAAAGTCATCGCTGGGACACATAAAATGGAGGTTGTCCAGCGTTGCATCACAAAGGAATGAATGCCCATGATTTCCTCTCCGAGTGTTCTGCTCTAACCACCGCCGTCGCCTCTGTCGGCTAATGGCCGGCCATTATTTATGTCAGACCTGCTGCACCTGAGCGGCGCCTCCGTTTGTGGTGCTGAAAATTCCAAGGCTGCTAATTAAAGCTAATCATTTAGGGAATTTCACGAAGGGGAAACGTTCTTCTGGAAACGAAGCAAAACCTGATTTCATAAGTAGAAACAACACTCACTGGAGAGAAAAGGCCGGAAATAAATTGTTCACTTTTAGTCTTAATGTGAACAATAATGAGCTGAACTGTATAAACAAACACCATTCATTTAGAAGTTTCTTAAACTGCAATGAAAACCGTACAACTATGTAAATCAGTCTGAAGCTTCAAAGCTCTTTTTATGAGACAAAAATGGCAAAGACGATGCCGACAGAGTTTGACGGTTCAAATAAATTCCATTTTTAAACAAATTAATAAACTACTATGGGACCACAGAGTGGTAGAGTGGTTCGTGCCGGTGCCTTACACTGTAACTGCTGCTAGAGTTTGCCTGTGATTTTCTCTAGTGTGGTTAGAAACCTGATCTTTAAGGTTGGGACTGTGTGGCTGGGATAATATGTGGAAATAATAACAGCTGTAATAAGTTTCTAATTATCTGGTCAGATGTTAAAAGTCAGAGGCCAAGGTCACCTCGGGTCAGTGGTTCTCAATTATTTTCCGTCATGCCCTCCCACCCCCAGGGGACAGAAATGTTTTCATGCCACCGCCCCTCTCCCCAATCCACACCGCTGCAAATTGAAATACTACTGAGATCCTGATAACATGTACGTTTTTATCCCTACAAACCACTGCGTGAGTTGCTGCCACCTAGTGGCTGGAGGCTTGTTATCATTCAAGCATTACAGCAGTTGTACACTTGTCCAGGGTGCCATATTCCACTGGAAGCCCCTCACGCCCCTGCTGGCAGAAGTACTGCGATAGGTCAACCATCAGGAACTTCTAGAGCGTTACCTCAACGACTAAATCCACTCACTGCTGGTCTAGGTCTTGTTTTTCTTAAAAGTATATTTCAGGTATATTTCTTTAAAAAACGGTGAATTATGAAACCAGTTTCCAAACTGTTGGAAGTGTACCAACTTTTCTGGACATCATCATCGTACTGCAGTCTATTTAGTGACTCTTTAAGCAGCTACAGATTACGTTAAGGACATATATCAAAATCTGCTGCGCAGACACAACCCACTTTTCACGTCTTATTACATGAATATTTATTTGGCCTCATATTCAGCAATCCCCAGTGAGACACTAATGTCGGCCTCTGAGGAGACACCGAGGAGCAAGTAAACAACTTGTTTTAATGGTCCTCATAAATAAAATAATTATATGGTCACGAATCTGCAGCCTGGGGTTTCTGCTCAAACCAGGAACCCCGCAGGACAATAAGTGGTACTGCAGAGTGTGTGTGATTAGACCCAGACTGACTGTAATTACACTCCAGCCTGATGATGGAAGAAGAGTCCTTCTCATTAGTGCAGATCACATTCCTTTAGCTGATTGAGCAATTAATGAGAACACAGTGATCCCTCAATCAGAGACCACTCCAGTCTCTGGCTCACACTCTCCCCTGACGGATCCCTTAATTAAGGTTAAGGAATCATCAGACGTGGCCAAGTATCTCTCCCCAAGAGTTCTTCAGCGCTTCCATTTCCTGATATTAGATTTTCTTTTACGTAACAGTTTCTTGGAACTCCTCTGCGGTTTGTCAAGTGGTGGACAAACAAATCATCCAAAACTACTGCTGAAGATTAATTAAGATGTCAACCGTCTGTGGTTTTTGGCGACAAACTGTCAATTTTTGAGGCAAAAAGCGGTTTTAACTTGGCGGCCGACCAACAGTGCAGTGATTAAGGTGTGAATATCAGCGACAGTGACTTCATTTCGTTAACTTTCTTTCAGTACTCAG